TGATGATACTATGACAACGAGTGTTGAGAAAGGACCCTCCCGCTTTGTACTACGTAAAGTATTATTATTATCAACAGTAAATTGGTATTGCTAAACGCACATGTCACTATTTAAAAGTAAGTAAAATCAAAACAGAGGGTAACCATCATCTGTGCGTTTCGAAACGCAGTTTCGTAATGTCAAAACTTACTCAGTGCGAGGTGCACGGCAATATCGTAGCACTTAGTAGCACTTGTGGTCAATTTGACAGCCAAATGTTGTTAGAAATGTGGGAATGGAACACGAGTTGCGCGATTAGCTGTCCTCGGGACAGCTAGACAGGCTTGGTCAGCAAGACCCACCTGGGACAACAAGTCATTTCCACCGTGAGAACTATGTATTGGTGGACCAACATGTTTAATAGGTAGGCACTTGACGCACGTGAGAAATGTAGCAGCGGGAAAAACCTATATGCAGAAACCAGAACTCAGCTAAGCACATTAAGGTGAAAGCGGTTCTTGCAAATACGATTATTACAAAAGAGCGAAATTATTCGGTTCATGTCAATTCCAGCCACACACAGAGACTCTCGGAAATAGTTTAAGTGTTGTCACAACCGATGAAGATGTAGAGAGCCAACCACGGAAGGGTGAACTCCGGTCGTCACTGCTTGACAGGGAAGGGGTTCCTCATTTACATGTGGACATTTTGGTAGGCTGGTAGATTCACCGCGACTGTTAAAATTAGCTGGCGACGGAGTAGGGCGCCCTCAAATCAACAAAATTGCGAGTTCTAGGGCAATATTGCCCTGGTGTCGTGGGTGCATACGACTCAAAGCGTCGGGACTATCCGTCCTAGCGCACTCTCCCAAGTGAAAGGTGACCTGTATACAACTTTTATTAACTTAATCTTACAGTTTTCGAATGGAAATAACAAAGATCAAAACTGTAGAAGCTCATGGCGATGAGATGGCATCTTTACGAACGCTTGCCCAATGCAAATTGTAAAGACATAAAGAATACGATGCTCTAAACAGGCGTCAGCGCTGTTGAAGCAGGGTTGTAAACCTGCAGGATAAGTGAGGTGAGGTACTTCCTCATCCAGTGCTCGAGCAAAGTCGGATACTAAGCGGTACTTTGCCAGTTTCAAGTAGGAATATCACAAATGGTGAAACCGGCTTTACAACAAAACTTTTTTAAGCTGGGAAGTGATGCCCCGTGGATAAAGTGCTCACGGAGCAGTTTTTTGCGCTCATTTGACGGCGGCCCTCAGTAAAAGTCTACTCGCATGGCATGAAGTGTCTCCGTAACAGCGGGAGGAGTGGTTATGAACGGTTTCAATTTGCAATCACGACGTGATTTTGGCAAGCGTCTGCGTGACACTTGCGCTTGTGAAGGGTATGGAGAAATCGCTGGGTCACGATAGTGTGTTGGTTACAACAAGCTAAATGTCTTTGAGAGTTTTACAACGAGGCATCGGGTCACTTTAAAAACAAACACGGGGTCTGAGATCTGTGCGGAGGGGAGGGTTAAGCGCAGTGAGAACCCCGTTAAGTAGGTATTGCGGAAATATTTGTTCAATACCTGGAGAGTTATTGGAACCGCTCGCATCAGAGAATACACCAGCATCTTCGTCGAAGAATTCTTTAAGCGCTTCGGTTCTAAAGATCGCGCTTTTGTTGGAGATCGTTGATTGTTGAATGGGAGCGAAATGCTGATGCAAGTACCCTCAGAACAGAAGGGATGGAATTGCGCGGAGGGTTAAGTGGTACATCATGTGCATTGATCGGCAATATCTTCAAATGACAGAATACGTGTGAGCACCAGTGCGGTTTATGTCTTTGTGGGGGATGGTGAAACGGGGCATGTACGGAAATTTTGCGCCGTTAACCAAAACACATTTGGTGTAAAAAAATGCGGTACACAATTGTAGATAGATATACACGTACCAAGGGTCGTATTCGTTACGATTTTAAATATTCGAATAGGAGGGGTACGAGGTATACGTGGGCTGCCAGGCAAATAATGATAGTTTATTGTTAAAGTTAGCATCTGTATATAAAATTTGAAGTATAGTTTCTTGAAGCTGTTTGAGTTGTTTGTCGAGCTAAAAGCATTCATTTTTAAATAATTGCTGATTGGAGCGCACGAACTTATCCTCTTTGAAATGTTTTCGCGGACTCTTCGAGTAAAGCGTTCTCTCTGTGTAAGATGCACGAGCAGCACAACACGCTTTCCACGAGCAATTAAAGCTCGACCGTGCTTAAAGCTTGAGACTTGGTCGGCAGTTGCACCAGCAGGCTGTGTCAATATTTGTACTTCACAACTTCCATCATCAAACGATGTTCTAGTCAGACCTGGAAGTGGCTGTAAAGCTGCAAAGTGGTCAAGGCGGTATGTTATTTTCAATTAATGCACTATCAAAGATACAATTATCGAGAAGGGTACGGTTGAATTAGACCCCGATTATTCAAACCACAGGTTGTTCTTAAGAAGGGTGACCACCTGAATCGTAAAAAAATGCTCGCGAAGTGAGCTTAAGCTATTATTTTGCTCTCAGTGTGAGCGGAAGGCCCTGTATCATGATCTCAAAAGTTTCTGCTGCAAAATTGCGCGAATTCGTATTAAGATAAATTGAGCCGGCAAAATCGTTGTGACTATAATGCCTGTAAACATGAAGTCTACTTGTGACCCAGTCTAACTCATAAATAGCAATTGGAACGTCGTCATGAGCGCCCGGTGGTGTCAGTCACTATTGGCTATAAGAACTGAACACGAAAGACGCAACTCGCGACGAAGATCCCTCATCTGTTTTAAAAGGCATTGCCTTTTGATGAAGATGACTGTGACGATTCGGGGTCGAGAGAGAAATTTCATTTAAAATGATCAGAGAACAACTCGACTGCCTCGCCAAGAATGACGCACAGTTAGTCGGCCACAAAGATCAATTCTTCGTTAACTTAGAGAGTACACCAGAGATGTGGACCATAAAGGCAAATACTACTAGATGCAATGGTAGGACAGTAATTTTCGGTGCAGTAGTGTATAAAATCTCAGACGACAAATGACTTTAGTTCCAGTGTGGTACGTATTGGTAATGGATGGGAGATGAAGTTTGTTTTGTATAAAGATTTACAAGTACATGGTATCATTGCAACTGTTGTCGTTAGTCGTACCGTCAGGTTGCGAAGTTTGTATCATGATAAAATATTATGACATTACTGGAACGGATGAGAGGAATCAGACATCAGAAAACAGATATGTGTGAGCTACCAGGCTTATGCTATGCAGTTTATTGATTTCTCTTTTTTCTGGGTAGTCAAACAGATATGTCTCGCATTGTAACCATAGGTTAATGCCTTGGATAATCGCTTTTGAATTTCAAGAAAGCAAAAATTATTACCTAATTTCTTGGGAGATTCTCGGAAGCTTACTTTGAGAGTACAGTCAATTGTTCGGCACGAACTGAATGAGCTGAAGCTCCATTTGTACGAACAAGTGCAGCCGATTTTGCCATTCGCGAAATCAAATATCCGTGTCAAAACCTTTGTTGCATTTGGCGTATTTTTAGCATACACAATTCGACATCATCCCTCAGTCTTTCTGATACAGAAAGTGTGAAAATTCACTGTCTCTCACCAAATCCCACTTCATGCTGTGCACGGACGTAAGCATCAATGATGTGACACTGCATCCTTTAAAAATTGCCACTGCCGTGTGTCACAATATTTCGTTCCGTAAACCAAGTCAGCTTCAAGACGCACTATGTCCAGGAGCAAGAGGCATGGTGAATTACTTTTTGCCACATTGTGCTTTTTATCCAGCTTAAATCAGAAGGATTCATAGGATCCTTGAAGATAGCTTTTCCACTCTCTCCCCGCACTCAGTGCTTTGCAATTGCCCTCAATGATAGACTCACTTATAACGAATGATAAGCTCAGCATCTACTCTGAAGCAGGCTAACCATTTTAGTAACCTCACCGTCTTCCAACTGTACATAGCCCTAATAAATTACTAACTCTATAAGCTCTTCCACAGGATGTAGTGAGTGAGAGAAGACTGCAAACCTTCTCGAACGCTCCTTACACTAGTGAATGATTTTTCTCGCCACTTGCCCCTGAAAACTCACTATGAACCGACACGCGGTAGTAATGACTCAGCTGTACCGTCACTTCATGACAAGCATAGACCATCGTTGTCATCGTCATGATCTAAGCAAAAGCTATCGCATAATCGAACTCGCGCCAAACGCGCTTCTATGTTATTATAGCCATGGCTTCATTACTCACCACAGCTCGTCTAGGAGAAAAGCTCGTAATGTATAATTTCTTACTATAAGTCGACCATTGTGGCGTTCTAGCCACGTATATCTTGTCAACGTTCACACTCTCAAATACATTAACTGTACTTGAGTCTTTAAATTACTCTTGACAAATTTATCGATGGCTTTGTCACAAGACGCCCTGATATAGTATCCTCATTTGCCATTTTTCGGCTCTCTAACGTACTTCTACTGTTGGATTGTCGCCCGCCGCTCTGAAATTTATCAAGCCTTTCCACTGCATCACAAAGTCCGAGACGTTGGTATCAACAACCAACAATCCTCGGATTTGAGCCCCACCTTTCTAAAAAGAATTGCTGAGTAAAGGGCTCAGCCCCACTGTAATCGACTTCCACGTGGTTCCAGCAAATACCAGTATGTTTTCAGTAGATCACTAAGACTTAGCGCTCACGTGCTAAGTGTTCGTTGTTTGCTTTTGCATTCGTCGTGCGTCCCGCGCTTCTTGGCGGTAGCCCGGGAAGCCGAAGGTCCATGAGCTGAGCTTATGCTGTACCCTTAACTGCTGAGGTCGTATACTCACCGTGTGAGAAAAACAGAGCTCGCGGGGGCACGATGGATGATTCCATGTGTTGCAGGGCGACAATACGCACAAAGACGGCGTTGCGCCTTGAGTTTGACAAATTCAAAGCGAAGATGGCGTTTTACGCGCACGTCCACCTCCTTGTGGCTCCGCTGTAAGATAGACAGATAGAAAAGTTTCTTGTGCCGCTGCATTCATAGCTCAAAGAGCTCCTCATCATCCGCAGCAGTTATGCCAGGGGCAAGAATCACAGGCACAGTTCGCATGCGGGTTCAGGAGCGCCTCTTCTTTGAGCTCAAAGTCGAGCGCGGTACATATCCATTGGAATTCCTTGGGATACCAGGAAGCGAGCTCGGAGAGCTTTTTGCTGGTCAAGCTCAGCTTGTGCAGTGGCCGGGGGCCCGACTACGTAGACGCCTATCGATCGAGTTACGGCGTCTTTCGCTTCAGTAGCGGGATCACCCGAGCGGGATCCGTATTCCACACGAGGGCCTAGGATCGAACGTGGATACGAGCGCATGAGAGCCGCTCTGTGAGCAGCTTTCAACTGCTGCTCCTGTGTCTCGTGGAGGCGAATGGTAGTAAACCACTTCCTTAGAAGTCAAGAGATCGGGGAACGGACACGGTGTCCGCAATGTTTGAGTAGGGCTGACGTCGCGCCGTTGGCACAACTCGCCCTCCTCTACCTTCCATGCTGAAAAAAGAGTCCTCGACGAGGAATTCCGTCGATCGTGGCGGGTGCAGTGTCTGGCGCTCGGTTGCCGACGGCTTGGGATGTGCTTCCCTTGAAGCCGCGGATGTACTGTGCAGAGATGCACCCCGTGCTGAAGACGAGAAGGATTTTGCCCGGGGGCATCCTCAGTATTAGCTAGGCTGAGTGTCTTTCGTGTCATAGATACAGGGCTCATTGAGCGGAGAATGATAATGATGGTCCTAGGGATGTCACGGTGTCTGTTACACGTACCCTTTTATGAAAGGGTGGGACACACTAGATGGTGTGACCGTACAAAGGTGTGGAATTCACAAGTCGGTGTAATAACACAATGGTGTGGCTACACCGTAACAAGAAGCCACTACGTGGCAAGACTGCCAGTAGCTATGCATACTAATAAGATTTTAGATATAGGCGGCTCTGCCGCAAAAAAAGCAGTTAAATACCTTTTCAGTTTTGAACGGAAGGGCGTCTTTACCTTGGTTAAGGCTCTAAGAGCTTTTGGAGGTAACGGATTGCGAGCCGCTACACTCGTACTGGTTCTTGTACAGAGCGTAAGATCAGTGACCTTAGCTTAGCTTTCTCTAAGCAAAGAGCAACAGCAGCCCCGCTGCACTTGGAGCTCAGATGCCTGTGTCTTTACACTAGGTAGCGGGTATTAAGATCTAGTCAAAGCCAATGATCATCAAGCATTAATTGCGATTGGAAGTATTCAAATCACACCGCTTTTAACCGTTCAAAAACGATGTTGCGGCTGTATGTCTATTAGCCTTGATGTTAACGCGTGGTGGCTCCACAACCATAAATTTGGGATTCAAGATCAGTAAGAACAAGCTTAACTATGCGGTGTTAGATTCACCGTGGGAACCTAGCCAGTACATACGTCCCTCATCCATTCAATGGTCTACTGACCATATCGTCGTATATTATTACGGCAGAGTCTGGTTCAAATAAACACACTATTAACGTTAATATGCGCACAAACCAAGTTGAATGCGATTCAGAAAGCAAAATTATAAAATACTATCAATGCGAAGAGTGTCTAGCGATGCTTAAAGACAAAAACTAATTGTCAAATAAGATGAGACGATGTTATCAATTAATGCTAAAGTTTAACCTTGTTCTTTGGGAAGAGAGTCGAGATAATTTATCATCTCAGCTGCCAGCATCGTTTTATCTCTTCTATCGAGATCAGATGCAATCTTCCCATATCTTCCATTCTTAACAGCCCTTTCAAGCCATTCCAACTGTTTGTTTTCATTGAGTATCGCTCGAAACACATTTGCCAGTTTCTTTTCGTTCAATGCTTTTAAGAAATTCTTCACACCTTTCTTATCCTTCAATGCCGCTCGAAACAATTTCGCACGATTTTTATCTTTGATAGCCACTCTGAGAAAAAACACTTGATTCTTATCCTTTAATACTGCTTCGAGTTTTTCCCCAGTTTATCACCCAGCACCGTCTTGAAGATCTTGACACCTATCGTGTCCTCCAAGGCCGATCTAAACAGCTCAACTCGGCTATCATCCTTCACTGCCTCTTTGAGAAACTGCACTTTGTCATCATCGTTGAGAATCACTTTTAATATCGTCGCCGAATCCAATTCCGTATTGCTCAACATGTCATCAACTAATTTTAGCCGTCCTTTTGACTCCAATGCATCCTTAAACATCATCATACTATCAGCATCCACCATAGACACTTTGAGCACTCTCAATGTATTTTCATCCTTGATCAACTTTTTAAGCTGATTCACGACTTGATCGTTTTTCAGGTTCTTCTTTCCACCACGTTTTGTTAACCGTGACGAAAGATCTCTCAAACCGTTCACATCCTTCAAAATTACATTAACCATTTGCACTGCTTCATCGTCTTTAAAAACCGCTTGAAGACCTTGCACGAGTTTCTCGTTGTTCAGCATCACCTTATACGTGTCCACAACTGTCTCTTTCCCTAACTTATCAGCAAATGAAGCAACCTGCCTGTTTGCTTGCAAAGCCTCTCTGACCAACTTCGCATCATCGTTAGACTGCAACGCAGCTTTAAACAAACGCACTTGATCCTCCGAAAAGTCCGACCAATGAAAACCAGCAAAAATGGATTTCGGATCTACTTTGAACGAAGAGGCTAGCTCGAGTCTTTTCGAAAAGAGCTGCCTTTGCCACTCTTCCGTTTCTTCACACCGAGTACTAAGAAAAGAATATACATTCGGCACCACAGAAATAGAACTCTTCGACTCGTGCTCAATGAAGTTGAAACGAATATAAGTAGCGTATTGAATTAAGTGACTGCGAATCGATGGTAGATCGGGATTGCTATTGGACCCACGAAGGATTTTGTAAAGATCATCAAAGTCATTAGATCGCATTGATAGCAGTCGATATGCTAGCTTGCTGGTCTCGATCGATTTCAACAAACTTTTTATGAAAGATTCGATTGTCTGATTTGAATGATCATCAATCTTTCCAAGCCAAGTTATCAAATTACCTCCGTTGCGGCTTGCCGTAAAGAGTCGAACAATCTCCTCTGCGACTCCGGTTCGACCTATCGAAAGACCCTCCATGTCAATCAGCTTGATGACCTGGTCTAGAAATGTGATGTGTAGATCTCGGCGGAAAAATTCTTCAAGAGAACCGTATTTTGTATGCAGCATCAAATCATTGAATAACTTTGATAGTCGAGATTCAAACCATGGTTTTTGTGTCACCATGCTTGTCGCAGGGTGTTCATGCAAATTAGATATTGAGCCATCGAGATAACTTTTGGTTTCTTCATCATGTGACACGAAACACTTGTAAAGCCTCGCCAAGATGTCGTATAGCTTTTTACTTGGACTAGACCTCGATTGCTCGTTCAGCAGCGGTTTATACAGTTCACTTTGAAAAGAATTGATACTTTCGGCAGCTGCATCACGAAGCTTGCTGTATGAATTCGACGAGAAGGGATTTTTGACGTTAAAAGCGATTACTCTCTCCCCATCAGTTTCATCAGTGTCGGTATTGTCTTGCTCACTCTTATCATAACGCACCAACTTTCCTTCATCAACGGTCAAGCTACTATTTTCAGAAGACAGCGAATCATTCAAGTGAAGCACGAACACGACTGGGTCTTCCTGCTGGACTATACTCGAATTAGACGAGGAGGATACACTGACATCAAGCAGTAATAAAATCGAAAGAATTGACAAGAACATCGTCAGGAAAATTGGAAAGTCATCTGCCACAACAAATAACTGGGTCAGGCAGATGATTTGTTTTTATCATCACAAAATCTGGTCTATCCGACTCTAACAACTGGGCTGAAAATTCTCGAGGTGTTCTTTAAAGAAAATCTCAGCTATGAACAATTTGCACAATTTATGAACAAAAACAAATTTGGTACATACTATTACAGCCGATTAAAAGACAGCACAGCACGACAAATAATTGAAGCACATCTCTATTGATGTTGTCGTATGCGCATTTCTCTTACTGTAAGTCAAGATATAACACAGAAATGTTACTTTAGCGAATACAGATGGATTGGTCGACAACTTTTCTCTTCTGGTCCCCTCAGATTTTTATCAGCATAGCAATCTTTCTGTAGCATTACAACATGAGCATATCTTTGACTTTGCTCTCAAAGGAGAGCGTACATTTACCATGGAATGATGAGCCATGTTTTGAAGTAAAAACAAGGAAGAGTTCCATTCGCGAGTAGGGTGCGCATCGCACTGTCCGAACCGAACTCTTATCTCAGGAAGGGAAACAAGCAGAATGCACATTTGTAAGCATTAACATTGTCATTGAACCATGTCTTAGCGAGATCATAAAATCTTGCTAGCTATCGTAGTAGGAAAAAATATTTACTGCTCCAGATATTGGTAGTACCCCGTCAGCATGCAGGCCCCGAGTTGTTCAACAAATAAGCAGTAACCCAGAGCAGAGCCGACAGAGGACAAATCTTCTACGTCCGCTTTCTCAGTGGTGGCACGTAGACTTTGTCCGACAGTCTCGGCAAGAGATCAAAACAGACACAAGTTAGATCTTAAATGTGCTCATCGTGTCGTGCATTCAGACCGATTGCCTTGAGGCATACCAGACATTTTATGAAGGAGTTAGGTACGGCTATGTTTTTGATATATCTTCAGCAAAGTCCTTGGCGTACGATTGGCTAGTGAGAGCGTGGTCGCGGTACAGCTTTTCCTAACATACGGGAATATAGGACATACCCGCAAGTCCTAAGGAATATTGAGAAGACAATTCAATCCTTTTATGTCAATGACAGAGTAATGTCTGATGTAGCAAGTGTTGAGAAGATGAAGTGAGCAGTAGAAGGCAAGTTTGGAAGTAAATGTATTTAAGG